ATAGTAAACGCATCGCTCGAGAGCAGGCTACGGCCTCCGGTTGCTGCAGTGCTCGTTGTTATAAATAGTACGCATAAATTGGGGACGAATTTCATGAGTTTTGACCAGAAAGGACATTCGTTCTTTGTTTCTCTGGTTTCATTTGTGCCTATTTTTGATGGAAACTTCAACCTGTAAGAGATGTTCATAACGTATCTCATAACTTTTTTTTTTTTTTAATGTCGCGCGTTTTGCTTCCCTGTAAACTTTGTTGTACGGATCACTAGTATGTAAAATAGCTTATTTTGTTGCTGGGGGGGGGGGGGGGGGGAGGGGAGGGGAGGGGGGGAGGAGAAACCCTGTCAAGTGACGAGTCTGCTTTAACAGGCAACAATGCAGATACAGGCAACAATGATCCAGTGACGCAAACCTAATGCGATCACGCCAGTCACACAAAGGCACACATATTGAAGTAGAATAAGGGTAATGAAAATGGTTAACTATTGATCGGTTTACAACGGCGCGGCATACCAGCACCCTGTTTTTCGTGAAAGGCGCAGATCTCGGTATTATAGTAGCAGACGAACTTTTGCAACTTTGGTGTCTTCAGCAAAAGATAACTATGTACATATACCAATGAGTAAGTGGATGTACCTACACAAAAGGAACTTACGATAAGATGAAGGTAATAGTGGGTGGAAAACAGCTTCAAGTCAGTCAATGTTTAGCGTGTCTGCCACAGGCCTTTATGGCTCCGAGTTTAAACACTCCGAACAAAGGTACTGCTAGAACGTGACAAAAAGACGTCCGACATATATATATAATCAATGGATGCTCCTCAAGTAGCCTAAGAACACGGTGGCAGCCCCATCTGTGCTATTCAGATTTCTAAGTGGCGCCAAGCACGTTGTTCATTATCGTGGAGACAATGTCAAACTGCCTGGTAGTTTCAAAACCACCGATATTGATAGGTATTTTTAGATTCCACTTAAAAATGTGTGCGGGTAAACAACGTTTTCCACCAGATATTCTAAATCTTGAACGCCAGGAGGCGCCGCTATTAACTCGTCCGCCTGCTTCAAGAAGCCTCTACTAAAACTTCACATCCGTTCCTATTTTATTTTTTTTTTACTTTTTTTCCTAATGAAATTTCAGTTTTACTTTTTTGATCGACTAAGACCAAAACGAAAGACAGTCAAGAACAATTCGCTCCCTCCGAGTTTATAATTAGAGGCTTTATGTTCATGAACTCAACTAGGCTCTTGATCCGCTGGCTGAAAACTTATCAAAACTAGCCATGTCCATACAGAGCTATTAAACTAGACGATCCGTACATTTACACAAAGCACATCAGCTTGTAGTTATAACAAAACACGGTGCACAATATAGGGATCATTAGTCACTCGTAATGAAGTATACGTCCACTGGGAATTGTGGAAGCTTCTCATTGTTGTTCCTAAATACGTAATCCCGTGATTCATACGACTGATTCAAGTAGTTGCTAAGTAAGCGATCTGACACAAAAAGCGTTCATTTTCTTCTTTTTTGCTCAACAACGCACACTTAGCAAACAAACTTCGCAATAATAACAAAAAAAAGTTCAAGTCGTATGCAAAATACAGTATCTCTAAATACATAAAAAAAGGAATGGATAAACAAAACTATCACTCGAACAGAAAAAGAGCTATGCCACCAAAGAAACATACGCAAAATGCCACGAGCAGTGCCAGGTAAAAGACTTAATTGTTCATGAAAACAGCCTGTTTCCCACTTAGTCATTTGTCGATCTCCCTTGATGAACGCAGCGATTGGCTTTTGCAGTCTGCTCAACGGTTAACTAAACCCACGAGCATCATTCATTTCATCTTATATTGAAAAAGCACGCCAATGGCGGCCTCCATTTTGGTGAAAAGCGGTTCCACCAAGCGCAGCTGCGATGAGTCCAATTCGACGAAACGCAGTTCGACACACGATGAACGACACCGCGGTAACGCGACGGGATGCTGCTACGCTACCAGGCCGAGATGTGTAACGCAAGGGTCTCCAGATCTACGAATCCTTGGGATGTCGTTTGAGCGAAGCCTCAAGAGAGATAACGCGCTGCCCGCCAGCAATTCTCGTTATCGTATATACTGCGATTGCGGGACAAGCGATAAACGACACGACACGTCGCCAAGCCGTGTACTAAACTCGATCATCTGAGGCGCGACCGATATGCCCTACGGGCCGCCAATTATTGTCTTCGGATGTTTTTGCTACGAAGGCGCATCTGTGTATCTGCTGAGACAAAGAAAACCAAGTCAAAGACAAAATCAGAGGACCAGCGTGACGTCAAAGGCCCCGGAAGTGACGCATAGTTGATTTCTCTCCCCACGACCCTGTGTTCAAGCTTTTTCCGGTGCTCACAACACGTTCCTGTTATTGAGACGGCATCGTGTTTGTTAACAGACATGACTAAGAAGGCTCACTCACTGCTTCTCAAATACTACGAGCTCAGTGACGTCAGCACATGCGACTAGAGTGTATAGGAGAAGGTACTAGACCTGGAAGCCGGTTCTTGACCAGGTAAAATTCTGAACTTGGAGGCACTAATATCGCTTAAAACAATCTTTTTTTTTTTTTCCTCTATTCCTTTATTTGGGGGGAAGGGGGGCAGGGGAGGAGGGGAGTTTGTAGGTCGTCTGCTGAAAGCTAGAACCTTCGCTGCTCTGGCTTTGTGTCAAACTGCAAGTTCTGCTATATCTTCGGTTTCCGTTTGATTCTATAAAGCGGAGGCACGATCAGGTTCAAGAGAGAACAACTGGTGCCGTTTTAAGTAGGACCCATTCGCGCCGCGGCACTGACTGTGCAATATTGATGAAATGATGAGACTTTGTCCGATCACTGAACCTGAAAAAGCTAGCTCCCTTGACATATCCCTTTGCCACCGCAATCAAAGTTGATTGTGGAATCAACCTTCGAACTTAAATCTACTGCAATTAGAAGCGGAATCACAATTTTAAAGGAGCAACTAGTAACATGCCGCAGTTATGCACTAAACTTTCCATTGGAAGTTTAAGTACTCTGCAAATATACCGTAAAGCCGGGGCGGGGTTGTTGGGATTGCCGGAAAACAGTCGTTTCCAAATCGAAATAATAATAATAATAATAATGCAGTTCAAATCAATCTTAGCACTCTGCTCACGGATATCACGTGACAACGCGCATAGCTTTGATACGGGAAAAAAAAAAAAATGTGTGTTTATTTTTAATAACACAGTTACGACGAGGAACTGCAGCTGCTAGCGACAAGTTGCTACAAAAGCTGCGGCCAAATGTACAGCTATCGAAACTAAACCGCCGTTGGGGAGTATTCCATCAAAGAAATTGTACCTGTTACATTAAAAGAAAGACTACTTTCAATTTGTCACTTCACGTTGTGCAGCTCATCGAAATAAAATCAAAACCGAATAATCGTTATGCGTTCGCTCCTTTTAATTGTTTTTTTTTGTCGAGAATATAATCTGCGTAAAACAAAAACACGTTTTTTTTTTTTTTTTGTGCATGCGTGAAAGGAAGCACTGCAAACGTTGTCATAAGAGACAGGCAAACTCGAGGTTTGCTCACTCAACTGACACGTGCAAGTTGTGCGGAATTCTTGCAGCATTCTTTTTCGGAAAAACGTGTCTCTCTTCGGTTGGAAAATGGAGATTTGAGTCAATGCCTATATGCAACGCCGCAGACATTTTAAAAATTTTTTTGCTTAACTTTATGTGAAAGTTTTTACCAACTTTCGACCGAGTAGCGATGTTGTAGCGAGAAATTGGGACTGTAACCCTAGTCATTAGCACCATGGATCATTCTAGATTGTACATTATAGAAAAAAACTAAGTCCTCAAACAATGAGCGTGACTATTGAGTAACGTTATGGCTTCCACATGTCCAACGATAAAACGAAAAAATAAAAAAAACGAATACAAAACTTATTATTCATCTGCAAGTCTGATATATGCGCTCACGCATATATTAGGGTCACAATAAGAGTGAGAAAAAAAATCTCAACTCAGCCCCAGCATATACGAAAGCCACGTACGATTCTACAACCGGCATATCATGAAATAATTCCGTAGCCGAAATACGTCAAAACAAAAAAACACAGAGAAAAAATGTATCTTTTCTTACGCTTTGCAGGTTGAGCAACCCTCGGGAAAAAGCTGGCTGAAAAAGTTCACAGGAAAATATAATATGGAGTAATATCGGCTATAAGCAAGCATTAAAACAAAAAAAACAAAAAAAAAAAAACAGCGAGGTACGTTTCCTGAACGGCAAATAAGAAAGAAAAGAGAGAAGAAAAAAACTAAAAAGAAATACGAGGCGAAGAGAAACATTGTTAGCAAAGCCTATCGAGGTCAAGCAGTTTCATCAAAGTGTGTCAGGACGACGTGGGGCTTGTCGGCATCAATTGATGCGAATGTTTGTTCCAACGTCACAATAGGGCCCTTATTTATCCGTTCTGCTATCCGGCAACCTGTCCTGCTTTTGTCGGCGTTGTTTACTGTTCCTCGTCGGGATGTGTCTTTATGTCTATTGAGAATAAACATTCCGAACTGAGCTGCACAAAAGAGAGCTATAGGAACGGCTAGACGTAGTACAGGGCAAAAAGCGGAGCTGAGGAGAGAAGCCTGCATGGATACAATCGATATCTAATCAACTTCAGAATATCATTGCATTTCCATTATAGGAGAGCCGGCGGGGGAGAGTCATTACAACCTGACTCCCATCGGGCGAAAATAGCATCGGAGTCGAAGTCAATTTGAGTGCCTACTCGCGTTCGCAGCGACATACTAGCAATCCATTAATACAACCGCAATCGCTTGCGAATGCTTCGTACTTCACATACATAAGGCACATTAAAACAAACAAAAAGGAGGCTGGAATCGGGATACGCTAAAGGATACACGCCGTGATCAGCGATTCGGACATGTTGAGGCGAAAACGAATATGAAACGAGAAGTGGCTTAGATGACTGTTGCATTACTCACCGTGGAAATCAATCAGCAGAGGATAACCAACACATCAGCGGCGACGACCGACGACGAATCCAACTGTTGGCGGCTATAGCACGTGGCACCACCGAAAAAAATCAATCAACCGATCACCAAAATCCGGGCGGCGTGGATGTGTTCGCGGAAGCACCGGTGTCGAAAGCAACAGCCTGTTTTCACTGATGGGAGCGCCGATGCCACAAACGCGAGGACGTCGACGTCGGGCCACGTTGGTACCACAACTCTCTCGGAGTCATTGACAAAAAAAAAAGGGGGAGTTTTCAGCACGGATCACACCAGCGGGGGAGTCAAAATCCGGGTTTTTCTCTTGCGCGGGGGAGGAATAATCCGTCGTCGAAGTGACTCCGAGGCGATGATCTCCTTCCGAATCAAAAGACGACGAAGCGCTCTCGCACAATCACCCGCGATACAACACGCGGCACACGCACACGAAACAACCGCTCCGGCAAGTCCGCCGGTCTGCAATAAGCGAAAGAGCGCAAAACGGAAGAAAGACGAGGGGAAAGGGCGTTAAACGGGAAAGGAGGTACACGAGGGAGAGACCGCAAAACAAGTACAAAACAGAGGAGGAGAAAAAACAACGCAAGCGCCTCCTCCTCCTCCTGTTAGGTTTTTCTTTTCACCCTCTCCGCTTTTCGTACTCTCCTCCGTTGGGAGAGAACGGGACCTGTCCATTTTTAACTAAGGGGGGAGGAAGGATGGTGGGCACAAAAAGTGATGCGCGCGGCGCGATCCTCCGCGCGAGCGCGCTCGCGCTAGGAGGGGAGATTGACCTTAAACTCCGTTTTAACGGCGAAGAGAGGAGGACTCCGAAATAAGAGGAGGAGAAGGAAAATGGGAGAGAAAGGTAGCGGAGGGAGAAAGGATTGTTTAAAATACGTACGATATTGGTCTCCCCTCCTTCTCTCCTCCCTCCTCTTTCTCGGCGTTCCACTGTTCGGGCTAAAATGTACATACACGGGTTATATATTTTCTGCGGAGCTGTTCGCTGCTTTTTGAATTTGGTGCCCCTCCAGCGCCCCCTGCCAGTATCGACGTCGCCGTGTTGCATTTCGAGAATGCTTAGAAAAAGGAGGGGGAGGGGAGGGGTCCTAAATTCGCCTTTCCTCTTGCTGTTGTTTATGCGCTGTTTTTATTTTGATTGCGGGAGCTCGTAGATCAAAATGTTGTTTTCTCTCCAACATATCTCGAACACAGTCAATAGCTGCGCAGTGTAAGAGGGGGAAGGGGGGTTGGGGGGGGAAGGGGGGTATTTGGAGCCAACGTTAGCTTTACGATACATTCTTGACATAGATTGGATGAGAAATTTGTTTCATTTTCTTCGGTTTATATCAACACGTTTCGATGTATCTCCTGCCTTCGTTTAATATGTTCTCGTGGATTGTATATGAACGTATAAAACGATTTTCTTTATATACATAGAGTGCCGTAACCGTGTACAATAAAACATTGTTATGCATTCTACGCTTCGAGCTTTTCTGCCAGCTCGGGAGCAGCGAAATAGCTTACAAACTTAAAATATGCGTTTCCTTTGGCTTTCTAATAAAATTCTCTACATCACTGACATGGGAGTTTGAGTGTGGTAAGAAATCGTCAAAGCCAAGAAATAAGATGTCACTCCATTATTTCTTAAATAATTTCTTTAGTTTACTGAGAGAAATTAGGTTACATATAATCTAGCACGGTTATGCACGCCTTTATACATGAGCTTGGGATTTCCGGCACATACCCCGATTTTGAAAAGTGTCACGATAACAGTGATAACAGCGGGTGTATCTCAAAACGTCCCATTCGCATTTGAGCCTTGCGCTTGGGCCAAGTGAGAAGGTCGAAACGAGAACGGGCTCAAATGATAACCACCCGATAACAGCTACCAGTGCACATCTATCAGGAAATTTTCATTTGGTTTTCATCAACTTTGCTGTCCCGAATTCTCCCGATTTTACGTTGAGTGTCCCGAAAGATTCAATATTGTCCCGATTGTCCCGATTTTATTGAAGTGTCCAGTTACCTAATTGAAATGCCTGTATAGGATGTGCCTTTCACCCATTGGTAATATATTTAAGTATCGGCAACGAGCCGGCGTGGGCGTTCAAACCGCTTGCGCTGGCTTATGTGAGCATGCTGCTAAAATTGCTTTACGAAACGGTCAGGAGAGCAGCGTGTCACAGACGATAGAGATGTTGACGTGCGTTAATAAAACCAACATTTTTCTTTTAGAAGTTGCGAGAACATTACAGGACTTCTGACGCTTTGTCGAAGTAAATTGGAGGTGATGTACCTAAAGTAAAGTAGTAAGTATACCGGGTAAAATGTACTTGAAGTAAAGCACTATAAATAGAACGTACTTTCAAAGTAAAGTACAAGTAATTTTAACGCGATCTTTCACCATGCCCTTTCATTCCGCTATAAAGGTGATTCTTTAACTGGTATGCATTGCCCCACGGGTGATCGGGTGTGAATCACCTATTTTCGGAAATTATGGCGAATATTAGATAAACTCAAGGGGACAGAGTTATTGTTTTCAGAAATGGCGCCAAATTCAAAAGTCTTTCCGAATTTGGCGCCGCTTTCACTGTGTGGCTTTTGCTGCACCCAAGAGGTTGAAACGTACCAGGAGAGAGCGTCACGCGCTCCGTCGCTTCTGCGAGCAATCCTATCATGGAGAATTGTCCTCTCCTTAACGGAGAAAACAGTGAGCGTGCAGTCAAGCAGGTGATAATTTATTATATTGTGACACCTAAGACTGCGGTGCGTAAAATTAAAAAAAAACTTTAGAATAAAAAAAAATAATAAATACAGAGGAGAACGTTTTAAAACATTGAGACGTTCTCCTGTGTCGTCTGTTCTTTCGACTTGAAACTTTCTTCATTTTTTCCGCACCACAGTCTCAGGTGTTACATTATGATGAATTGTCCTCTCCTAATATTTTAACCTCCTCACTTGCGCTGACCGGGCCAGAGATAGCTCGAGAGTTCGTAATGCTGCGGGAAAGCCGCCCCCAGATCAAACGGAGCGATGCGTCGTCTGCTCGTATTTTTTGTTGAGAGTACAATATCCCTTACAGTATTTCTTCAGAGTTGACAAATCATCATCTTGTGATACATCATTAACGAATCTAAATTTGGGGAATCTACTTTGAAGTCTGGAATTGTACTTACCTCGGAAATATCAGGAAAACAAATACTTTAAAGGAGCACTGAGAGGTCAAAATTATATAGTTCTTATTTACCGAAACGATTGAAAACATTGCCTGAATATTGCCCTTAAAGTTCGAAGCAGTGGGTAAAAACTATGTGTTTCTAAAGTAAAAAAGAAAAAAAAAAGTTTAAAATCCGAATTTGAAGTTCCCGCGCTATCGGCGTTAGTGCAGTGCCATCAACGATTGAGTCGTCCTGCAACTCAAGTTTCCCTCTCCCGCCTCCAAACTGTCCCCGCCGGAGGTGTCCTGTTTTCCCACATCCCGCGATCAACCGTGCTCCTCCATGCGTCCCGTGGTAAGCAGACGACGCTTCGCTTTCGATTTTGAAGTCCTTTAGGGCCCTTTCAGCAAGCTCAAATTCTTTGAAACGGAGTGATGTCGAAGATGACGCTCAGTGGACTTTCGTGAGCGACATGAGGGGCCATGTCCCGCCGGTGCTGCGTAAAAGGCTGCCCCGGCGGAGTCACAACCGAAAGGCCGTTACGCAGGTTCCCGAAGAATGCGTCAGGGAAGGCGGCCTGGCTAGCTGCAATTTCTAAAGGTTTCGAATCCAAGGTATATTGTTCGCGATATTTTGTCGACGAGGATTATGAGGTCAGTCCAAGGGTCTCTAGAGCGTTGGTGGTTCAGATGGTACCTCGGTTGAGACATGGTGTCGTTCCCCCACGAAAGTCCAGCAGCAGGTCACATGACACAAAGTAAAACGTCCAAGGCTAGAGGAAAGTCTGTACCAGACATCGAGAACTGTGTCCGATTCCCCGACTTCCCGATCATTCTCACTGCTACAGAAAAAGGGGGAAGGCGCCACAGTTTCCAGTTCGCCCCCCCCCCCCCCCAACCCCAGACACACACACACACACTTTTACGGTGCTCCAGTGCTGGCGGCCATCACAAAACTTACACGCCAATGTTTGCATTTATGTTAGTGACTTTCAACTTAGAGTTGCCGGATCCCGTCTAGCAACGTCGCAGTTTTGCCACGGCGCCGATGGCCTTGCGATGCGAGCGTTTGTTCTTGTTTTGGTTTTGTTTCGCCCAAGAGAGTGCCTGACCACACTGGCAACAGCTCATTTTAAATTTCGCGCCAGTGCTTTGGTTGCGCGGGACGTGCAATTCTCCACGCTTCGCGTGCCCATGTATCGCAAATTTGACTGAAAGTGTCTGCGGTGTCACCAGAAGATGGAAAAGCATTTTTGCAACCATCGGGTGTGCTCTTACGGCGAAACGAGTGAGTGGGTCCATCCAAAAGCGCAATCACAAGTCAAGATTCGTTCTCCGTCGACAGCAGTGCACCTTTGGCAATCCGCGTGATTGGGTTGCATTTTATTCTCTACAACTGCGATACCATCATATCACTCTGAGAAATGCCTGCGCGTCTACATACTCAAACACTCAAAGAGCCAATCTCGGCGATCTACGAAATCAGCTCAGCGAATGAGGAGGTGGAACAACCGCTTAGACCTCAAAATGAAGTCCGCGTTGTGGCATTACGCAATGCAAGCATATATGACGCTTTGCATTCCGTAATGACGCAGCGCAGACTTCATTTCGAGGTCTAAGCGGTTGTTCCATCATTCGCTGGGCTGATTTCGTAGACCGCAGAGATTGGCTCTTTGAGTGTTTTGCGGGTAAGTAGACGCGCAGGCGTTTCTATGAAGTGTACTATGAAGAGCCGGAACGTTCATGGTTTGTAAGGGGAGACAGAAACCCACATCGAAAAGCCTGTAGTAGTGTACCGTCTTCAGCAGACGGCTCCTCGACTGCGGTGACCTATTTCAAGTACATCGGTCCCTTTTCATTTGATCCGAAATATGGAAGATTGCCGACGCCTAATGTAAGTAGGAAGCTAATCCTGCCCATTTTATGCTGCCGTGTTTTGTTAATTTTACCGTGTAAACGCTTGGGTATGTAGATTTTCCCGTGAAATATTCAGACCCCGTATTTGGCCAGTAAGTTTTGTTTATATGTGTCGCAGTAACCATGCTGTTCTGAATAAAGAGCCCTCGCTGCCAGTGGCGTACCAACTTGTTTTTGGGTGGGGGGGCAGACCAGAACCCCCCCCCCCCCCCCCCAGGGCCCGGGGGGGGGGGGGTGCCCTTGGTATCCCTTGGGCGCCGCCAGCCAGTGTTTTTCCCCTCCCAGTGGCGGCTGTTTCTGGGGGGACGGGGGGGGGGGGGCAAAACACATGCATTGCCCCCCACTTTGAGAACTGGGGGGGGGGGGGGGGCAAGCGCCCCCTTCCTCCCCG